CTATATTGGTCAGGCTGGTCTCGAACTCCTGACCTCAGGTGATCCACCCACGTCAAGTGCTAGGATTATAGGCATGAGCCACCGCACCCGGCCTGGCTGTTATTAGCATGTTATTAACTAGTATCACGAGCGGCTCAGTTTGAGAATCAGTGGGTTAAGATAATGATTCCTACAGAGACCCACAGTAAAGTGCAGTCTTTCTGACTCATATTTACAGAATTCCTACTATCAACCAGGCAGCGGGATATGACGGCTGTCAAGGAAACATGGTCCTTCCTCAAAGATTTGCACCAGTAGGTAGAAGAGGCTTGCTCTGGCCAGTCATTTAATCCCCACTGCAGAACCCCAGGACTAGGGATCTATTCATGCTCCCATTCCACGTGGGAGGAAACAGGGACAGAGAAGTGTAGTCAGCTGCCCAAGGTTACACAACAAGGAAGCCGTGGAGCTGGGATTTGAACCCCAGGGGTCTGGCTGGCTCTAGAGCCTGCATAGTGTGCCCCGCCAGTAACGACAAGTGGTGGTGACTGCCACTGGTATCCAGAGTGTGCAGGATGTGGAGGGCAAATGATGTTTGAGCTGAGAAAAGCTGTCGTGCTGCTACAGGGTGTTATATGGAGTGGGGACTGGGGAAGGGAATAAAAGGGTAGAGAGTCAGGGACCCACGAAACTTTGTCTCTAGCAGAATTTGACATAGCTCCAGCCTGAGGCACCCGGAATTCCTTGGCCCTCCTTGAACATAACCACACAGGCTTTATGCGTGGGGTGTGGAAAGTGGGCAGCGAGGGACGGCGGCAGGTGCGAGAAGAACCCTCCAGCGGGGCTCAGGAGCTCTAGGCTCTGGGATGTAAATCAAAGCATCGTGCCTCAAAGGGAGGCGCCCAAGGGATGTCTCAGCCTCTCATTCTCAGTTGGCGAGCAAATGGACAGAGATGCACTAACGTGGCACGTTTTGGAAAAGCAGCTCTTGGCTTCTGCAGATGGGATGTCTCGGGCTGTGAAAGGGGGCCTCCGGGTGGCTCTGGAGGGATGATTTCCTCAACTTTAAATAAAGGCGGCAGCAAAGTAAATCAAAAGGCTGCAGCCCTCCCGCCCTCCTGCTGCAGGTATTTTCCCGGCTGCTGCTGCCCCCTGCTGACACAATCAGGACATCGCGGCCTCCGTGCCCCGCCGAGGCCACAGCTCAGGCCTCCACTTTGCATTCCGGGCGCACAGAAGGTGAGTCAGTCCCATTTCCTCTGCCCTTTATTGAGATGGCCACCGCCAAGCACTGCATCAGCGGAGACATAAACAACCAGGCCCACGTGAACAGTGGAAAAAAGAACAGCAAAGGTCATTACCAAGAGAAGGCAGTGCACCAGATGCGACAGTGCATTACAGGAAATTGTAAAACAGAACTGCACCACCGCATTATAAATCCCCCTCCAGGGACTCATGGCCACCGCAGTGGCTGTTCATCAGAACCGGTGCTCCCTGAGTCTCACCATGTGTCAGGCGTACTGGGGACCCCTTGCATGTGGTGACTCTTCTAAGCCTCAAAGAGCCTACCGGAGCAGATGGGAGGAGACTGAGACACAGAGGAGAGGTGGCAAGACAAGGATTCAAGCCCAGGAAGCCTGAGTCCCATGGTCTTGCAGATTTCAAGTGCAAAGTCAATATCCTTTATTCAGTGGGTTCATACATCTAAATCAGTGCTTCTCATCCCTGGAAGATTGTCATTTGGCAATGTCCAGGGACAATTTTGGTGGTCTCAGCAAGGGAGTTTGCTCTGGCATCTAGTGGGCAGAGGACAGTGATGCTGTCAAACATCTATATTGCTCAGGACAGCCCCCATAACTAAGAACACTTCACCCCTAAGTATCAGTAGTGCCGAGGTAGGGAAACCCTGATCTAAATACATAAAATTTCTACGAATCTACTAGCACTCTCTTTTTGGCATTGCCTCTGACATGAGGGCATTTGAGCAAATCTGCTTTAATGTGTGAAAGGTATTCTTCTTGAGAATTCATGCAGAATAACTCTCAATTATTTAATTTCCCCTAAAACCTCCTATTTACCCAACTGTTGGATTGCATCCAACAATTCTGCTACTACACCCTGTGAATGATAGGGCTGTGACGGGGCCCAGGCAGCAGGAGAACCCCCTGGCTGTCACAGCACAGTGGCGAAGGGGCTTGGGCCCTGCAGTGGGGATGATCAGCCCTGGCGCTGTGCATGGAAGGTTGCTGCTGTCCCCGGCAGGGAGCCGCAGCTCATCCGCATGCTGCTCTTCAGGGATGTCTGGACGTGTTCAGCCCTAGGATGATTGAACAATTCCTGGGAACAACTTGTCAGCAGCTGCCCCTCCACTCCCCTCTTACCCAAAGCCCCAGTAATCAACCCCAACAGTCCAGTCCCTGGCTTTGGGAAGCAGGACTGTTAACCCTTCCTCTTCCATAGAACATATGGGTGTAACTAGGGGTGCAGGCTGGGGGTGGGAGAGGACCCAGGATCAGGTCACCCCATATGAATGGTCATTGCACACCTCCCAGCAGTAAGCCCATTGCCTGCCCAAAAATTGGTATTCAAGAGTTGGTGCTTATTGAATGAATGAATACACAACCAGAAGGGTAAAGTCTATGAGAGTCATTCATTCATTCAAAAGTATTTACTGGGTGCCTCACCATGCTGGGGACTGTCCTAGATACTGGGTGAACCAAAAAGACCAAGTGTCAGTTCTCATGAAGATTGCCTTCTGGTGGAGGGCGACAGATACCATACAAATAAACTAATAAATATGGAATATAGGTGGCCCTCTGCATCCACGGGTTCCACATCTCTGGACTCAACCAACTGCACATTGCAAACATCTGGGGAAAAGAAAAATTTTAAAAAAAGCAACAATAAAAAATAATACAAATAAAATACAGTATACCAATATTTCCACAGTATTTCCATTTTATTAGTTACTGGAAGTAATCTAGAGGTGACTTAAAGTATACAGGAGGATGTGTGTAGGTTTTGTGCAAATATTACACCATTTTATATAGGGAACTTGAGTAGCCCCGGATTTTGATATCTGTGGTTACCAATCCCCCGCGGATACAGAGGGACAGACTGTGTAATCTCTGGCAGTAGTGAACGCTACAAAGAAAGTAAAGTAAGTCAAGGAGATTGAGACTGACAGATTGGGGGCGATGCTTAAATTGTGTGTTTGGGAGGGCTCCCCGAAGGCATGACATTTGAGCTGAGATCCGAAGATCATGAAGGAAAATCATACAGCTTCATTGGGAACAGTGCGTACAAAGACCCTGAGGTGGGAACGTTCCCGAAGAGCTTGAGAAACAGTAAAATGGCCCAACAGAGTAGATAAAGGTGGGTTCTGGCATTAGCTAAGAAAAGCAGTTTTCAACAGGAGCATCTGTTGGAGTCACCAAGAGGGTTTACAGGTTTGCATGTTTCTGGTGGAGGACGGGGGAGCGGTTTATCCTAGAGTTGGAACGTTTCTGGTTGGAGATGTCATTTGTGGTTTATGGTCATTTTGACATTAGCCCTTAGGTTGATGCCCTTTGGGTTGGATTTAGGCAGTTTTTGATCAAGGGGAACTTTAAAATGGCGGCGCTTCTCCAAGTTGGCGATGTCTCTGCTCTGTCATTACCCACCTTGCAAAATGAAGGAACCGAGGCTTCAGAGGTTGCCCTGATGTGTGTCTGTGTCTTAGCTAAGTGGAGCTGCCTCAGGAGAGTGACGCACTGAATGGGGCCCCTTACGGGATTAACAGGGTCACTCACGGTGAACAGGTTGACCTGGAGGGGAGCTGGCAAAAGGGAGGCAGAAGACCAGAAAGAGATTTTTTGCTCACCGGACCTGGGGTGTCTGAGACGACTCACGTGATGTCACCAAAGAAGAAAAGCAGTTACGGAGAATGAAGGAGAAACAGACCTTTACTGTAACACCAGGAATGAATTCCAAGGAAAGAACATTTTAGACAACTTGCATTTACTCCGGATTTGCGGCTGAAACCATCAGTCATTCATAGAGTGTGTGTTTATTCCCCAACACAAGGCTGGCGGCCACCCTGAGATGGAGAGTGGCAGAGAGGTGGAATGTTCTAGGCGTCTGGAGGGAATGGGGAACTTTCACGCAGGCACCTTTGCTGAGAGGCTGCTCTTCCCTTCAGCATCAGCCTTCAGAGATCCCAGGGGCCCCAAAGGAGTGACAACAGGGGGTACATTCGGCCAACCAATGACAGTGATGATAAACCAAATCTGTCCAGATAAGCTTCCGCTCTCCCATCCACCCCACAATCATGTATGCACCTACTATGTCCAGGCACTTACAGGTTTCTCTCCTTCCATCCCCACAACCACCCCACGAGGCGGGTTCTCCTAGGCCCATCCTGAGAGGCTGAGGGATGAGATGACTTGCCCAGGTCAGGGAGATGGCAGTGATTTAGGTCTCTGACCCCCAACCACGTGGAAGAGGCACCCCCAACCCGGTAAACGCGTACCGAGAGCCTCCCTGGGTGACGGGCAACGAGGTGAGTGATGCATTCTCCTTTTGCAGAGAGTAAACGGACTAAGAGGAAAACACGAACTCAAGTTTCCGTGTCTCACCGCTCAGCCCCATCAAAGTGTACTTGTTCTCCCTTTGTTCACAAACATCAATTTAAGCACCTTCATATTTTAGATTTTAACGCTCATAACATTTTTGGGCTTTTAAAATTACATTTCCCTGCGGGATGCGGGGCAAGGACTGAACTTCTCGATGCACTGTCATAGCCGCGTTGTGCAGAACCCGGGAACCGGGGAAGCCGCCAGAACCGCTGCGAAGTCAAACGAAGTCAGAACGGCCTCTACTGCCGCGGCCTGGCCCACTGCGCAGGCGCCACTCCAGACAGTCTAGCGCCCAACCTGCCCCACTGTAGGCGAATCCACTTCTAGAAGGACAGCGGGAGTGGCGAATCCCCATTCAACCCGAAGACGGGTCAAGCCAGGCTCTGACCAATCAGAAAGCTTCTTTTATCACCGCTTCTAGCTGCTTAACGTGGAGGCTTCTTTATCTCGGGACTGTGGGGCGCAGTGGGGGCGGGATATACAGTTGACTGACGTCAATAGCAACCACTCGTCAAGCAGAATGAACTTGAAGAACAGATAATCCTACGAGTTGCATCTCAAGAAAAGGCTGTTATCCCAACTCCTTACTCCCATTGGATTTTTGCGAGCCCTCGAGGGTGAGAGCTTTTGGCGGCAGCCAATCGAGGGTCAGCGAGGAGGAGGAGGCGGGGCAGGTGGGCTATGGTTACCTAGTGAGTGCGTTAGGCGCTGTACTTGTGGCCGGAGGAGAGCCGGGTCGTCTTACCCTGATCCCGCTGGGTAGGGCTGTGCTGAGGGGCTGGGCGGGGAGCACAGACCGTGTCCGCTCTCTTGCACCTTTTCAGACTGCCGTGTCGGGCCTCGAGCCGGGCCCACCGGGAGCCCTCCCCTGCCCACCCGCCCCCAGCGCCTGATTTTCGCTCTCAGCCCAGAAGGGCCGGGTTTGGTCATCCCCAGTCCCGTCGCGGCCACTGGCCCTTGAGATCAGCCCTCCCCACCTTCCCGTCCCAGGCCAGCCCAGGGCCCGAAGCGCACCCACCCGCGCCTCTAGCAGCCGCTCTTGTGCTCTGGGTACGGCTCGCGGGAGTGTTGGTTACCATGGTGAAGCTGGCAGCCAAATGCATCCTGGCAGGTGAGTCTGAAAATTTGCGCTTGAATACGGGGGTCTCTGGAGTCCAGAGCCTTCATAATTCATCCAAAGCTTTTGTTCACCTAAATTGCCTACCTTCTTTTCCTTTCTCTCTGCCGAAGGGGAGTTACTGCAATTACTGATACAGGAAGTTACATTAGGCGCGGAAGAATGATCTTCCAGAGTACTTCGCTCCTCCAGTGGATTTTCCCCTGCTCCCTGTCACATACTCTGAGACCACCTTTACCTGTTGAGCCGACTCGTTAAAAAATCACTAGTTAAAACTCTGGAGGAGCAGACTTGTTAAAACAAAACAAACAAAACTTAAGCAAACCTTGAGTGCTTTAGCTAAACATTTACTGTACCCCAAAGTTAGGCATCAGTGACTTTGGTAGTCTTTACTATGGGATTTTTTTTTCCCTGACCTCACCCCCTCTGATAACGGTGACCTGAGTGTAGTGACCAGAGTTTGCAAAAGGCACTTGTGTGTTGTCTTTAAGACCCAAAGTTACTGTGCTGCCCCTCTCCAAGAAGGGCATAAATGTTGAGACTCCCAAAGGCAGGAATCTTTGTTTTGTTGACTGATACATCCCAAGCATCCAGAACAATGCCTGGAACATAGTGGGTACTCAATAAATACTTTCAGAATGGATGAATATATGGCATGCACATTTGTAGTGTGCCCCTTGTGTCACTCTGCACATTTAGAAAAACAATAGCTTGGATTATAGACTACGAAACACATATGCATGCTACTAAGTCCTTACTGCATGTGAGGCACACATATTTCATGTAATCATCTCACCATAGCACACTGGGCTAGGTACTGGATTTTTTTTTTTTTTTTTTTTTTTGAGACAGAGTCTCACGCTGTCACCCAGGTTGGAGGGCAGTGGCGCGATCTCGGCTCACTGCAACCTCCACCTCCCTGGTTCAAGCAATTCCCCTGCCTCAGCCTCCCGAGTAGCTGGGATTACAGGCACGCACCACCATGCCCGGCTAATTTTTTTTTTTTTTTTTTTTTTTTTTTTTTTTTTTTTTAT